CGACATACAAGTTCATGCATTGCTTGGACTTGTTGAATGTTTCGAGTTGTTAAAGAAGTATGGTAACCCAACCCACATTGAATGTTTCCTAAGGGGCATGATATTCACCAAGGTGGAGATTTGTTAGGTATGGCTCATAAATATACCAGGGTTTATTTACTATAAAAGAAGATGTAACCTAAACCTATGAGACATTGAATTGAATAAAATTCTAGCACCGCCTAAGGCACCGAGGACGCAAGCACATTGATGAACCTCGTTAAAATTCTTGTGTTCTTTCGTTTTTCTTTACCCGATTCTTCAACAAACATTTCACCATCTTATTGATTAAAATATTATTCAATTAAAATATGAAATAGACCCATCATGATAAGATTAAAATAGGTTTTTTTGCTCGACAAAGAACAATTATTAAATTAAAATAATAGACGAAGTTAACTTATGAGCCTCATTAAAAACCTCCCTAAAACAAATTGGAGGAAAAGAGTGCTACATAAGAGAACAAAAACAAGCACTACGATCCAAAAACAAAAACCAGAACACACAAATCAAAACATTACACCATTACACCCATCAAAGCAATAAAAGCTAAAACCATCAAAGCAATACCAATCGAAAGGGCTTCCTCGACACCAACATCTCATGCAGAGTCAACAAAAACATTTCCACTAGCACCATAGCGGGCTAGATAACTTTATGTTGCTATCCTATTTATATACTAGTTTAAACCATGCACTGTTCATAACTTGTAAATGTGAATGGGTACGTACATATGTATCAAACTATTTGTCTTCCTTTTTTTATATATTTTATTCTTTCCCACGTAATATTGGTATTGTTTTATTCATAAAAAGTTTTCATGTTATATTTTTATATTTCTATTCATTTTTTTCAAATAACTTGATATGAGATTTCGCTGTACAATTCATACATGTAGCATAAATAAAATAAATAAACGTAATACCTAAAGATAAACACACAATTATATTGATATAAGTATGTTTCTGTGTTTTCAAATAAATAAAAATAATAAAAAATATATATTAAATTATTTGTGTACAAATTTTATTAAAAAATATAAATTATAAATAAAAAAATTTAGGACATTTAACGCCTAGTCTACACCATTTTTTCTGTTTGCTGGATGCGATTGATAAAGAGCTCCTTCAGACCCGATAGCTTCCTAAAAATCACAACTCAAAATTTATGCATGTTAATGACTTCATTAGCCTTTTTGAAGTTCTTCGTCATGGACTCATATATGATATATTCGGCCAATTCCATATATTCGAAATGAGGACGATGAGCTTTTGACAAAGAAAATTGACAATGAATTCAAATGGCTTAAATATTTTGACAGTCCTTATATTTAATATTTTCTCAAGACTTTATATTTAGAGTTCCCCTCCCCCCTAACTTGACGTAGGAGTGTTCATTTTTCTATTAAAACCAAGTTAATCAATTAAATCAAAATTTGATTGGATTAATTAATTAATTAATTTAATTTTAATCCGATTAACGGTTAACAAAATTTTTAAAATTTGATTAATAGTTAATCTAGTTTTAAATAATATGATTTCAAAAATATGTTTTATTTTAATTTTTTATATTTTATCGGTATTTTATTTTTGTCACATAATATTTTCTTGATTTTGTGTAATATAGTTGTTTTTGACGTTGTCATCATCTTGATGGACCGTAAGATTAGACAATACAAGAATAGTAATGGTAAAAGACATTAGGTATCTAAAAAATAAAAGTAAAACTTAAAACTAAGAATGAGTATAAAAAATTAAATTATTATTATTTAACAATAAATCACTTAAACTATTCTATTTAGATGAAATATATTATTTATAATACTACTCTTAAATGGAGGACAAGTTTACGTTAAATTAATATCCCGTGATTTTTCTTATTTGGATTTTGGGTCTCACTCAAATTCAAGGAGTACTTGTTATAAAAGGGAAAGTGATATTATTTTATTTTAGTTTGTAGTTTTGCCGATACCCTTCCAAGTGGTTTTGATAGAAGCTCTTTATTTTGAGGTGTTCTATTGTTTTTCGTTTGCCTTTTAGCTCTTTAATAATTATTCCCTTTGTAGATACTCAATTTGTCCAGGGGTAAGTCAAAGCAGACCCAAAGTAATGACTACCTAACCTGACCCCAAACCAATTGAAGGCCCAACTCAAGCCCAGTGATCCTGCAGAGTAGCTTTCAGCCCACATGAATACTCCCTGGAAAACCAAAAAATGGTTATTGGGAGTTAACAAAAACAAAGTGGGGTTCGGTTTTCTTAGTGGATTAAAAAACGGAAAGGGGTCAGTTTTAAGGGGATTAACCACCAGAGATTAGGGGATATCAGGATTAAAAAAACAATCACAGAGCAAAAAATGAGGAACACAGACAGAACTGAAAAAAGAGGATTTTGTAAAGACTTTCTGATTCACCATTTTTGGAAGCAATAAAAGAAAGCAATTTTTTTAAATTTCACTGTTCCGTTCGAAGGAAAGCATCAATTATTCACAAAGGCCATAGCATTATCTCGAGCAAAAGCAATACCAAAAAACAGAAAGTATTAACAAGAACAAATCCATAAAAAGGAAAGCATTTAGAAGGCATTTCTTTCATTTTGTTTATTTTCTAGTAGAGATTTATATGTGTGTGTGTGTGTGTGATTTTTGTTTGAAACGAGAATAAGGGTCAAAAGCTTACCGAGTCTGCTTGAGTCATCATAGTCGACCGTGGCTTTTGAGGAAAGGCCTTCGATTGTGGGAAGAGGAAAGGGAGAGGTAGCCGTGAGTCCTTAGGCGCGGATTTATGATTTTAGGTCAGAGTAAAGAGTGAAGCACTTACCTCATCGGTTCAGGTCCTTCATTGCAGGTAACCACCAAGGTGGTGGTCGGAGATGTGAACCGTGCCCATATAGGGCATTTAGGGGCATTAACCGTAGTATTTGGGGCAGTGATTGAGTGAAGAGTGAGCTAGTTTGTTTGGGTAGATTCGATTTTCATTAGGAGGTTTTTATGTTAATTTAGGGTTTTCGATGAAGCTGGCCGACGGTTACGGTGGCTGAGGTTTTGACTGAGCGTGGGTAGAGAGAGCGAAGGGCTGGGCGAGCCTGGGACAATGGGGAGCGCCGTTCTTGAGGAGATAAGAATGGAGAGGAAGATGAGAGCCAGCCGTGTATTTTGGTAAATTAGTTTAAGTTTGTTTTTATTTAGGTTATATATTAGAGTTTTTGGTTAAATTAGTATTTAGTCACTGAAACTTTCAGGTAAAATTATCTTTTGGTCCTTATAGGTTTAGAGCTTATTTTCACTTTGGTCAATTGTGGCACTACTTTCGAATTCGGTTTTTTGTCCTAATGTTGTTATTTTCTAGATTAGTTTCCCCTGTTTTATTATTTCGGTATTTTTCTGCTCACGCTTCTCCTATTTAGTTATTTTTATGTTTTAATCCTCTGTTTGTTAATGGACAAATTACAACCTTGGTGCCTGGAATGTTATTACTTTTGTATTATGACTCAATGCTTGTACAGTTTGTTATTTTAGCATCAGATTTACATTTCCATTTTAATTGGTCACATTTCTTTAAGTTCTTTTAATTTTTTTTTTATCATTTTTACAATATTATGTTGTTTACGTCAATTATGTTTTAACCTTAAATTAGTTTTCCTTACATTTTAGTCCATGTTTAAGTTTTTATGCGTATGCATGTATAGTTGGGCTAGGATTCATTTCGAATGTATGATTCATATGTTTGGATGATGATGATATGTATGCATGTACACATTGGTTGTTTATTAATTAGATAATCATCATTACTATTTTTTATATATTAATTTTTGCATGATAGTCTCACGTGTATAACTCGACCTATAAATACATAATCAGACTAAGGGTATTACCCTTTTAATTTAAAATTGTCTTGAGTGGTTTGTCTTAACTCATTAGAGGATCGTTTTTGACGATTTTAAATTAAAAGTGTATCCCGAAAGTGAAACCTAAAAAAATTGATTTGTCACTTATAATTTGGGAACGAAAGAAAAGGAAATGTTCGGTTATTTAAATTTTTTGAGAAAAGATTGTTACAACTCATCTAAGATCTGGTCTCGATATTTTTAAATAATCAAACATTCTTTATCTTTCTAAAATGACTTGCTAATTTTAATTTAATTTATTTGGGTGCTTTTGAATATTATTAAATTCACATCTTTGTTTTATGGGATCAAAAATTAAATTAAATTCGAATTTGTAAAGTTAATTGCAAAGACATTAATTAATCGACTAGGTACCGATTTAAGGCGTTGTGAGGGTGATAATCCGAACTCGATTTTGGTAACGCATACTTCAATTTGTTGTTTTAATTAAAATTAATTTTTTATTTAAAATGACAAAACGTTTTTGGGTGCCCCAATCACACCCTAATCAAAGATTGGTGGCGACTCTTCGAACTATATTTTTCTATTGTAAACGAAATCCCAAAATTTTTAAAACAAGAGGTTTTTTTTAAATTGCATTTGTTTTTAAATTAAAAATCAATTGAAGAGATAAATTAAAAATTAATTTAATTTTTAAAATCACACTTTTCATTTTAAAGAAAAAATCGTTTCGACACCCTTATATAGCAAAAACAAAAAATCATACTCAACAGCATGAACAGCATGAGAAGAAGCAACAGACAACTGAGATGTGTAGGAATGGACATAGATTTTATATTAAGAAGTCTGGTTTATAAATTTTAAGAGATGACGAACTACCTTGCCCGCCTCTCCTCAGTTCATCTCTGGAGATACGTAAAAGTTTAATAACCACGTCATATACGAGTATTGCAAGATGAGATGAGAAGAGCAAAAGGCCTTTCTGTTTTATTTTAATCCACACACATAGTATTCTACAACTAGCCATGCATACGTGCATGGCAATGACATAATTTTGAAGGCCCCAACATGAAGACACACTTACTTAGCTACTGGCTGTCAAATTTATTGTCCTAGTAGTAGTAGTAATGCAGGCAGGCATTGCATTATTATTATTATTGAAGTTTTGACAGCCACATAGTATGATGAGGCTGCCATGTGATCAGGGCCAAGGCTCAACGTATGCAGTCACGGTTGGTGAGAGTGCCTTTATAGAATCAACTACAATTCTTGCTCTGTATCCAAACCTAACAACTTCATGACTCGGACCCCCTCTGTTATCAAGCTCCTTTTTTATTTGATCCCAATCAATTCCCCCATCCACGATATCATTGTACACCTGCACTTGCATATACATAATTTCAATGATCTATTGATGCAGCAGCAGCAGGTAAAGAAATGAAAATTGCATGCATGCATACCTTGCTGTCTTGACCTCTAGGGTTGCTCCAGGTAACGACCCACGTTTCGCCATCGTCAAGAATTTTGTATGCAAGACCAGCAACTGAACCCTCCTTAAGCTCCTCAAGCCCTGCACTGTGAGTAAACTCAGAAACATCTCCGTCCAAGATTTTTCCGGGGAAAGGAGTATCTTGATCTCCTTCCCAAACCTTTCTGCTTGCCAGGGATAATTCGTGTTTGGAATTGTTCCGAATATTGACTTTGGTGTGTTTTTGATCTTGAGGTGTAGCTACTTCTTCTGTATGTGCCATCGGTTGAGCCATGGTTTTGGTTTTCGGTGGTGTTGTGCTTTGGGTGTTGCAATACACACCTACTTATATACTGGTTTAAACCATGCACTGTTCATAACATGCAAATGTGAATGGGTACGTACATATGTATCAAACTTTTTCTCTTCCTTTTTTATATCTTTTATTCTTTCCCTACGTAATATTGGTATTGTTTTTCGTGATAAGGTTAATACGATGAGGGTATAATTTCAATCTTATTTAATTGTTTCTAGATCAATCCAATTTGTGGTAAATAAAATTAGAATACTAAAAGGAAAAATGCATAACTATTTTCATCCCTACTATTTAAGAGTTTGTTTGTTTCACGTAAAACAATTTCTTGAAAACGTTTTTCTCATTTTTCAGTGTTTGATCCACGAGGAATAAGTTAGTCAATGCAAAACATTTTTTGGTCAACATAATTTCCTTTGTATTTACTAAAAAAAATACTTACGGTTTCATTTTCCGTAAGTTATTCTCCAAACTTTTCACTTCAAAATATAAATACTCAAAATATATTATTTTATGTATTTAATATTAATATAATATTTTAATAAAAATATTAATTATTAAAAATTTAAAATATATATTATTTTAATAATATAATATTATTTTTTAATATTATAACAATATACCCAATTACATTATATAATATATGATATTATATACAATAAATTATAAATAAAAATTTATGTTATTTATTAATTTCCTAAAAAATAATATTATTGGATTATTAATAATGAATAATATTGTTTATGTATTTAATATTAATATAATAGTCTATTAATATTTTAATAAAAATAATTAAAATATAGTTATTAATAATATTTAAAATATAATATATTGTGACATTTTACCTACTGGTTAGTTAGGTAAATTATTCATCTTTGTTTTATGGTATTCTCTTAGATTATTAGTTTTAAATTACTAGGAGTATTCTCCTTCCTTTAGTTAGAGTCTTCCCTTCCACTACCCTTTAAGTAGGATCAGAATCAGATTTAGAGTTTGTCAAAAAAAAGTTATTTGTTCAAAATTTTCTAAGCAATTAACAATATATATGAACCTTGCAAACATAACTACTTGATCTCAAGACTTATGAGCAGGTACGGAGGCAAAATTTTATGTTATGAGTATACTTATAAAGTTTGAATGTGAGATAAACTTATAAAATTTTAGGAGAGTAAAAATAAATTTTCAATATAAAATACAAAGAAAATATCTAAAATATATAGAAATTTAAAATTTTTAGCGGGACGACTGCTTCCACCCACCCTAATATAGGTTTGTCCCTGCTTATAAAAAAAATTCCTTTAATCACTGAAATGAATCAATAAATTTATAAAAAGTATATAAATATATATATAAATGGAAAAATATTTATATACATTTTCAATGTTATTAAGAAAGAAAAACTATAATATGAGTTGAAATAAATCTTCACTATTTTTAAAATTTTTGAAAGAAACACGTTTATAATAAAAAAATATTTTTAATTAATCAGAGGAAATCATGTGGGAGCATGAACGATGAAAGAAATAAAAGTAAAAAACACGTTGATATGATCTTCAGTCAAAATAATTACAAAAATATAAAAAAGTATTTGTATATTTAAATTGTGTTTGTAACTTTTGATTCGTCAAACAAATTTTTTTAAAAAAATAATTCATATATAATAATTGAAAAATAATTATTAAAAAAATAAAAGAAAAACAATTTAATTTTAAAAAAAAATTTATTTTTAATAGATATTAACTATATATAAATAATAGTGTAAGCGTTTTTCAAATGTTTGATTTACATTGATAATTAAAGAACAACCACTCCAGATTAAAAATTCATGTTTGAATCCAATCAATAGCTTTTTATTTTTATTTTTCTACCATAATATATAAAACATAATATCATTTTGTTTCATTTTCTCTTTAAATGTGTCACCATCTTATTGATGAAAATATTATTCAATTAAAATATTAAAATATGAAATAGACCCATTAGGATAAGATTAAAATAATTTTTTTTTTGCTCGACAAAGAACAATTATTAAATTAAAACAATAGACGAAGTTAACTTATGAGTCTCATTAAAAATCTCCCTAAAACAAATTGGAGGAAAAGAGTGCTACATAAGAGAACAAAAACAAGCACTACGATCCAAAAACAAAAATCAGAACACACAAATCAAAACATTACACCATTACCGCCATCAAAGCAATACCAATCGAAAGGGCTTCCTCGACACCAGTATCTCATGCAGAGTCAACAAAAACATTTACACTAGCACCATAGCGGACTAGATAACTTTATGTTGCTATCCTAAGTATATACTAGTGTCGTAACCGTTTTTTCGGTTGAAACGATCGTTTAATTGTTTTAAAAAAATAGTTACGATTTAAATTTTGGAAAATTGGGTGATTTTGGATTAATTTGAACTAAATTGAAAAGAGTCACCATCAACCTTTGGGTTAGGTAGGTCGAATACCTAAAAACGTATTTTAAAAATAATTTTAAGAAAAATCATTTTTTAAAGACAAAAGCTAGTCTGCGTTTATCAAAGATTTGATTAAAACGGGTTCGGGAGTCGGTTACGCGTGGGGAAGGATTAGCACCCCCACAACGCCCAAAATTGATACTGTGTCAATTACACGTTGTCGTAATAGTGGAAATTTTGAATTGAATATAAGATTAAATCATGATTTATTTATTGAAATTTAATTAATTGCTTCGAACTAGTAATTTAAAGAAAATCTTTTAACTCGATAAAAAATCTTGAAATTTGGTATCCTCTGTCGGGAAAGCTATTTAAACTATTTCTCATTCGTAAAAAAATATTTCTCCTTAGTGATAAAACACGAATCAAATATAAATTAAAAATTGACGTTTTGCATAAAAAATAAAAACAAATTAATAGAACTACATTGACTCATTCACATAAAAATATTTAATTAATAAAATAATATATGAAAAATTACCATGCAATATGACATCTTTATACAAAAATTATATACATATTTTATAACTATATATTATAACTTATACATATATATTAATGTGTAATGAACCAATATGACTTAAAAATAAAAACATACTACATCAAACTACAAATTTTAAAAAAACTATACAAAATTAAAATATTGATTAAATATCTTTACTATTTTAAATACAAACCAGACAATAATTAAAGTAAAAATTCTAGAATTATACTATAAAATGAAACTGACACAAAACAAAACACCATTGTAAGGGACTAACATCAAAATAAACCTTAAATATGCATAGGACTAAAAACGTTTTTGCAGAAAATTAAAATTTAAATGTCTAAAACAACCATAATTAAATATAATGATACACCAGACTGAAATTGAATACGGGAAAATTTTGGAGACACAATCGAAACACGAAAACAATGATTTAAGGATCAAAACGCATGAAATTAAAAATTTGGATGGCCCATAAAATGAATAACCCATACGTGAATAGTCAAACTCCCCTAGATTAAACACTGCCGTTTTTAGAGAATTAATATATATGTTATTTTAGGTTAAAATTAACCATAGTCTCACTTGTAAACAACACATTGCTGTGCCGTTTCTTCTACTCTCTCCTTTCCTCTTCCTCTGGTTCGACTAAGACCTTCTTCCTCACTATTCAACGCCGCCAGCTGGCCACCATGCCTTGGTGGCCACCTTCACCCTGACAACCACCTAGCCCAACCTAAAAACAAACCAAAACAACCACCCCGATCGGACTAAAATGTCTTTCCATCTCAAACTTTTTTCTACTCAACCAAGGCCCCGAAGACCAAACCCATGGTCTTCCTCTTTCTTTCTCTCAGTGATAACTCAAACTAGCATTAACGGTCATCAAAACTACTGAGTATGGCCAGTGAAACCCCCCAAACAACCTAGAAAAACCTGAACTCCACTATTTCCACTCCTAGGCATGCTCATCCCTTCGATCGAACCCAAAACCGAGCTTCCAAACTCGCCTAACTCTCCACCTTCACACTTTCCAGTGACCTTATAAGACCTCGACTTTCGACAACCCCGATAACCACCTCTCAAGGTTAAGGTAAACTACTATTCTCTCCCTCTCTATGCTTTTCATTTCGAATTAAGAGAGAAGAAACAAAAAAAGGTTACTGGAAAATAAACTAAAAAACTAAGAATTTACATTGGTACTGCTTTTCAAAAAGAACGAAAGAATTAACCCCTTTATTTACTATTTATTTTCTCTGTATCTCGTTTACTTGGTTAATATAATATCTGAATTTCTTATGCCTTGAATTCCAGCAGCTAAACCAGCATGCAAACTATAGTTCATCGGCGACAATAACCTCACCAAAGCGTGGTAAGTTCCCGTGAGGGAACCCGAACGTCTCTGGTAAATAAATCCCAAATCCTCTTTGTTTTATTATTATTTTTATATCAACCTACTTATTTTACTTATGATCGAACATATGTTGATTTCTTTGGGTTAATTACTGGAATATGAAAATGGTTACAAACATAAAGAACAGATTCTTCTACTACTAATTTGTGTTCGAAATAAAAAAACAAATAAATCAACATATACTGGAAATTGAAAATGAAACTAGAATTACCTAAAAAATGCTTTTATTACTTTCGAATAGAGAGATGGAATATTTCCCCCTGTTTACAGTTGTTTTCTTAAAGAAAAATAAACCCCCTCTTTTTGTTACCAGTGTTTCGAATAGGATTCAGATCTTTTTTCAATCCCCCTGTTTGTATTTGTGATATTTTCTGGCCTCCCTCTTTCTCCTATGATCTCCTCTTTTATTGCTCGTTGTTCTCTGTCCTTTTATATTTACAAGTCAATAATTTAGTGATGACTTTGATCGATGAAATCTGATTGTAGCAGGTTGAATCCCGGATTATCCGGGATTTATTTTGTTTTCTAAACGTTTTTCAATGTAGTTGTTGGCTCATTATTAATGATATTTTGTCCCCTCCCCTTTTCTATTGTGACTTGCATGTTCTTGTC